CACTGCATTAATTGAAAATTTGACACGGGTCATGCCGCCCCTTCCACGCGCGCGCGGCCACTCGAATGATTTCGACATGCGGCGCGGGAGGCCCGTTTGGCCGAATTGCATTCGAAGTCTGAGAAACTATGGTTTCCGTACGAATTCGCAACACGCGAGCGCAGGCTTTTTTTACAACAACAGCAACTGATGCAAAGCCATGTGGTTTCATCTGTTTGGGGGAACACTCGATTTTGAATCCCTTACGAAACCTATAGATTTTGAAGGATTTCGGCACGCGCGCGACGACGCGCGTGCGTACACTCCGTCCCATCTGTTGCAAAAGATTCTTGCGACAGACTCGCGCAAGGGCGTTCGAGCGTTTCCGACATGCGCGCGCAACCGGCCCGCTTGGTAGCATATGAGGGAAATGTTGAAAAACGGTTTACGTGAGAATCTGCAAAAGCGTGAACGCAGGCTTTTAAACCGGGTGTGGTCATTTGTTTTCAGTACACTCGATTTTAAAGTCCTTGCAGAACCGATGGTTGTTGACAGTTTTCGGCATGCGCGCGACGACGCGCGCGTGAGCACTTCGTCCTGTTTGTTGCAATGGGCATTTCAAAACTGACTATGTCAGGAAAAAAGAGACGCACATACTTCTTTTGAAGAGGATGAAGGGGGGGGAAGCCGTTTGAGCTAGAATTTTACACACTCATGTTTAGGATGGACGGTGGGGGAACATCCCATGTAATTTGCCGTACGCGAAAGGGTCTCGTTAATTCTGGGGGGTGGGTCCGAATACTTCTTTCAAAAAGGATGTGCCAGGTTGTGCAACATATGAATATGAATATGTGTATATATATATATATCTTCATGTACACGTATATACATCTATGGTGCGAGCTGGTTCGATCTACGAGGTGTGAGCTATAGCTGTGCATAGTGTGCGGAGTAAAAAATGCGGAATGAGCTATGCTGTGCAAGCTATCTGGTGCAATATATGTGGTAACATTTATGCGGTGCATTCCAAGGGGTGTGAGCTATGTGTTGTCAGCTGTGTTGGATACTCGACGTGGTGCGATATATATATATATAAATATATATATATATATACACACATATATACATATATATATATATATATATATGTGGTGCGCGCTATGTGACGCAGTCTACAGGAAGCAATCTATGCGGTGCAGTCTACGTTAAGCAGGCGAAGAGTGGCGACGGGCGGCGACGGGGCCACCACACGGCGGCGGAACCGGCAATCAGGCCAAAACGAGGGGTGGCGAGGCGGCGGAACCGGCAATGAAACCCAGTTCCCCTGGAGACAAATAAGAAACCCTCAGTGCAGGCACCATTTGGGGAACGATGGATCCGTGTTCCCGAGGCCAAGATCCATGGTTAACACAAAACCATGCGTCCGCGTCTTAAGCTTCCAAGACGGCCCATGCATGCAACCAGGGACACCAAAATGGCTCAAGATGCCTCGAAGACGGCCTCACGGCGGCCAGAGATCGCCTCAAGACGGCTCAATATGCCTCCAAAAGGCCCAAAAGGGTCACAATAGGACCTCAAACAAGGCTCGCAGAGGCCACAAACACTGTCAACCGTTGGAAGTGATTCATGTTCGCATTCTCGCATTTCCGGCCTTCGTCAGCTCAAGACGGCCCAAGGAGCCTCCACAATAGCCCCAAGACGGGCCAAGAAGCCTCCACAGTAGCCCCAAGACGGCCCAAGAGGACCCCACAAAGGCCCAAGAGGCATTCAAGATGGACCCAAAACGGCCCAAGCGGGCGTCCCGTGTGACCCAAGAGAACCTCAAACGGCACAAGACGGCGCCACGACGGCCCCCAGACACCCACCACGCGGCCAAGACGGCCGCAAGACAGCGTAATAGAGCCATAAAGACTGCGCAAGAGGGCCCCAAAACGCGCAAGAGGGACCTAAGGGACTCCCAAGACTGCCTCGCAGGAGGCCAACGCAGCCACCAGATGTCCCCCAAAAAATTAGCCTGGCGAAGGACCCAAACATACGCAGTTGTAAATACCGCAATTGTGAATATTTGTTTCGGTGGCGTTCCCTATGGGGCCACGAAGCGCTGTACTGGGTGGGCCAAACGCAGGACACAACGGCTGTGCTGTGTGGTGGCAGACGCATGCGGGCGGTGCCAATGGGACCTTCGGTGGAGCCCCCTCTGGGGCCACGAAACGCTGTACTGGGTGGGTGAAACACGCAGGGAGCAAGGGCCGTGCTGGGTGGTGGCTGACGCACGCGGGCGGTCCCACTGGGGGCTTCGGTGGAGTTCGCTATGGGGCCACGAAGCGCTGTGTTGGGTGTGTGAAACGCAAGGAGCAAGGGCTGCGCTGGGTGGTGGCGGGCGCATGCGGGCGGTGCCACTGGGACCTTCGGTGGAGCACCCTATGGGGCCACGAAGCGCTGTACTGGGTGGGTGAAACGCGAGGAGCAAGGGCTGTGCTGGGTTGTGGCGGACGCATGCGGGCGGTGCCACTGGGACCGTCGGTGGAGCCCCCTCTGGGGCCACGAAGCGCTGTACTGGGTGGGTGAAACGCAGGGAGCAAGGGCTGTGCTGGGTTGTGGCGGACGCATGCGGGCGGTGCCACTGGGACCTTCGGTGGAGCCCCCTTTATGGGGCCACGAAGCGCTGTCCTGGGTGGGTGAAGCGCAGAGAGCAATGGCTGTACTGGGTGATGGCGGACACATGGGGGCGGTGCCACCGGGACCTTCCTCGGAGCTCCCTATGGGGCCACGAAGCGCTGTACTGGGTGGGCGAAACGCAGGGAGCAAAGGCTGTGCTGGGTGGTGGCGGACGCATGCGGGCGGTGCCACTGGGACCTTCCGTGATGGCCCATTATGGGGCCGCGAAGCGCTATACTGGGTGGGTGAAACGCAGACAGCAAGGGCCGTGTTGGGTGGTGGCGGACTCATGCGGGCGGTGCCACTGAAACCTTCGGTGGGCTCCCTATGGGGCCGCGAAGCGCTGTACTGGGTGGGCGAAACGAAGGGGGCAAGGGCTGTGCTGGGTGGTGGCGGACGCATGCGGGCGGTGCCCTTGGACCTTCGGTGGGGCTCCCTGTGGAGTCACGAATGTACTGGTTGGTGGCGGACGCATGCGGGCGGTGCCACTGGGACCTTCGGTGGAGCCGCCTCTGGGGCCACGAAGCGCTGTATTGGGTGGGTGAAGCGCAGGGAGCAAAGGCCGTGTTGGGTGGTGGAGGACACATGCGGGCTGTGTAACTTGGACCTTCGGTGATGCCCCCTTTGGGGCCACGAAGCCCCGTACTGGGGGGGTGAAACGCAGGGAGCAAGGGCTGTGCTGGGTGGTGGCGGACGCATGCGGGCGGTGCCACTGGGACCTTCAGTGGAGCCCCTTATGGGGCCACGAAGCGCTGTACTGGGCGGGTGAAACGAAGGGAGCAATGCCTGTACTGGGTGGTGGCGGACGCATGCGGGCGGTGCCACTGGGACCGCTGGTGGGGCTCCCTATGGGGCCACGAAACGCTGTACTGGGTGGGTGAATCGCAGGGAGCAAGGGCTGTGCTGGGTGGTGGCGGACGCATGCGGGCGGTGCCACTGAGACCTTCGGTGGGGCTCCCTATGGGGCCACGAAGCGCTGTACTGGTGGGTGAAACGCAGGGAGCAAGGGCTGTGCTGGTTGGTGGCGGACGCATGCGGGCGATGCCACTGGGACCTTCCTTGGAGCTCCCTATGGGGCGACGAAGCGCTGTACTGGGCGGGTGAAACGCAGGGGGCAAGGGCTGTGCTGGGTGGTGGCGGACGCATGCGGGCGGTGCCACCTGGGGTTTCGGTGGAGCTCCCTATGGGGCCACGAAGCGCTGTGCTGGGTGGGTGAAACGCATGGAAGGAGGAGGGAGGGGAGGAGGGGGAGGAGGGAGAGTAGGAGGAGAGGAGGAACGCGGGGGCCGTCTCTTCAAAACCAGGACCCAACACCACAGGATGGTTGGGAATTCCATGTGAGCTCCACAGATTGTCGAGACGGGAGGCGTGACATGTGACGGCCTTCCTCGTCCTACTCTGCCTCCTCATCATCATCAGCATCAGCATCGTCGTCACCATCATCACCATTACCAACACCATCAGCATCAGGCATCATTGTCGTTATCGTCTTCAACAGCAGCAGCATCGACAGCCACAGCGCCATTACCAGCATCATCATCATCATCATCATCATCACCATCACCATCATCATCATCATCATCATCATCATCATCAGCAGCAGCAGCATCAGCAGCTGCATCATCATTACGACCATTCTAGCGAGAATCATCTTCCTCATCGCCATCATCGCCGGCATCAGCATCCCCATCATCATCCCTATCATCTTCATAATCATGACAATCCTCGTCATGGCTCTCACCATCTCATCACGGTTCCAGGTGTCACACGTGACGGCGTCCCGTGCCCCCTCGAACAGTCGCCACCGAAAAATGTTGGGCTGGCACGGTGGAGGGACTTGCCGCAGGCAGCTGGATAAAATCTGCCAGCCCCCTTTGCTAGGGGGCGTCAAGCTCGGAGATCGTTGGAGGACGCTTATCCGTGGCAGACTACTTGGGGACACTCACCAGTTACTCTTCGAACCAATGGTTTCTTCAAGGACCGCGAACGTGCGCAGGCTGGTCGCGCCACTGCGGATGACCTGGCCGGTGGCTCTTGTTGGTTGCTCTTGGCTTGAAGCCTGGCCGTTCTGGTACGCCATGCCTTTATGATGCGGGCCGGCGTGGCGTGCCTCTGCGTCGCAAGCGGCCGCCAGCACGGCAGGGCGTGCTGGCCACTGACCAAGAGCTCCTCTCGAGACTGTGCCCAGACGTGGGCTAGCATACAGAGCGACTGTCCATTGCGCTATCATAGCGGCCGGGCCAGCCCTACTTACTCACAGCTCGTTCGCGAGCGAATGAGAGCCTTTGACATGCCAATACATCACTGCGATGAGCACGTAGGCCGAACAGAGCATGTATCCCTCGAGCCACGTCGCAGACCCATCAACCACGATGGTGAGGACCACCAAGACCGATATGATGAGCACGCTTACGTGCATGATCCCAAAGTTCAGGTCCATCCGCCACCGTGCCCTTGGCACGGCTGGGGCATGTCAATGTGCAACTCTTTGGCTAGCGAGGTCCGTGATAACAAATTCTGCTACAAGGGAACTTTGACCACAGTGTTCGTCGATCCTTGAGGGTGCTGAGGTACCCCAGAGCTTCTGTGGGTCTGAACTTCTGTGGGTCCCTTGGGCCACCGTGGAATCAAAAACTTCCGAGACCTGTTCGACTCGACCAGGCCTCGACGTGCCTACTACAGACTACTCGGCCAGGCCTGTTCGGGAGGCCTCGGTAGGACCATCACAAATAGGTGTCGACGCTGCGGCGGGGCCTGCCGCAAGCAACTGGATATCGACGCCCAAGAACCAGCCCATCACCACCGCGAAAGGAACCACGAACAGGGCCACCTGCACCGAAGACCCCACCGCTATACTGACGGAGAGCCCGGGCCTGTTCTTGACCGCGAACCGGACCGCCGCCGCGTGCTCGCACGCGTTGCCGACGATCGGCAGCAATATGATGCCAATGAAAGCCTCGCTGAGGCCAGCCTGGTCGACCACGGCCTCTATCGCAGTGACAAGCAGCTCGGACGAGATTGACACCAAGACCGAGGTGCCGGCCAGCAGGCCAAGAGAAACGCCGAGCGTCAGGCCGTCGCCCTCGTCTTCCTCGTCGCCGCCGTCGCCGTCTCCGTCGCCGTCCGGTGTCTTCAGCATCTGCTTGTGGGTGTAGAGCTGGAACCACAGGTACGCGACGTACGACAGCATGACGACCCCGGAGGACACCAGGGAGATCTGCTGGACCTCCTCGCGCTCGGTCAGCGCCTGGGCGATGAAGACCGTGGGGAGGGCGAAGGACAAGCACGAGACCAGCAGCATGGTCACACTGACCATGGCACCGTTGGCGACGAAGACCTGCTTCGGTGGCAACTCACGGGAGCCTCCCGTACCATCTTGGCGGCTCTTGCGAATCGACGCTCGTCGACGCCCGTCGACGCTAAATCGACGATAGACGACGCTAGACGACACTAAACCGTCGCTAACTCATCGACCCCCAGACGCTAATCGACGCGAAAGTCGGAACTCAGAAGGTACACCAGTCTCCCATCATTTGCTGCCGAAACCTGCTGCTTCTCCGCGACCAGCTGGAAGCCTCCAGAACGATCGATCCTGTCAAGGAACGGCCTCGCCTGGCTCTCGTCCATGCTGACACCGATGCGGAGGAAGGACCGGGTCATACGACCAGGATGTGGGGTAGCAAAGGGGGAGCCAGCGTCGAAGGGGCCCCGGGACACACACAGGAACAGACACAGGCCCCCAATTCCTCAGAGATTCTCTTGATGCTCGTCTCCCCCGCCGCTTCCCATATTTTCCTTCGTTTTCTTGATAACCGACGAGTCTTGGTGTCTGTGTGCTTTCTCCCTCCCGAAGCGAGCCAACTGACGCAAACCCTTCCCTGGCGCCTCCCCAGCGCCGGAGGCGCTAAAACGCAGGGAGCAGAGCGGCCCGGCGGCGGGGCCGACGCCGGTGGCGTGCAGCAGATGTCGGCACCCCTCTCCCGATGCCGGTGCCCGCCCCGCGTCCGACCCGACAGGGAAACTCCAAAGGAGGAGCAGGAGGAGGAGCAGGAGGAGGAGGAGATGGAGGAGATGGAGGAGGAGGAGGAGGAGGAGGAGGAGGAGGAGGAGGAGGAGGAGGAGGAGGAGGGAGGAGGAGGAGGAGGAGGAGGAGGAGAGGAGGAAGAGGAGGAGGAGCAGGGAGGAGCAGGAGGAGGAGGAGGAGGAGGAGGAGGAGGAGGAGGTCTGGGCGAAGTGCGAGGCCACGGCAGGCCCAGCCCGCCGGGCCAGCCGCCCCTGCCTACCGGGAGGCGGACGCCGGCTGCCCTGCCCTCGCGCCTCTCGCTGCGCCCCCCGCGAGGCTCGACGGCGTCGCCCCGGCGCACACGTCCAGCCCTTGGCCGCGAAGCGCGAGGCGCGGACACCGTTCGCGCCCCCTCGGGTGGCCTGAGATGGGCCCGCTTTCCACCACCACCACCACCACCATATGCTGGAGGGGGAAGGGGGAGGACGAGGCGGAAGAGAACGAAGAGGAGGAGGAAGAGGAGGAGGAAGAGGAGGAGGAGGAAGAGGAGGAGGAGGAGGAGGAGGACCCCCTCCCCCTCCAACTTCTGGTGGTGGTGGTGGAAAACGGACCCATCAGCCTGGGAGGAAGGACCTGGCCTCCCAGATGGGGTCCGAGTGCAGATGGGGTCGGAGGATCGCGCCGCATCGCCGATGCATCGGCGATGCAGCTCGATATAGAGCTCGATTTTCTGGACGCCGACCTCGCCGATGCATCGGCGACGTAGGCGCGATCCTCCGACCCCGTCTGCTCGGACCCCATCTGAGAGGCCGTTATTGAAGCGAAGAGGGAAAGGCGGGAGGAAGGACCCGGCTTGATCCCATCCCCCAGCTCCACGATGCCGCCGAAGAAGAACGACATGCCGAGGACCAGCAGCATATTGGACAGCACGGACCCGAGGAGCGTCTCCTTGACGACCGAGGTGAGCCCCGCCTTGAAGGCGCGCGAGAGCGGGTGGGGCAAAGAGGGAGGAGGCGGCAGCGCTCCGGGATGCCGCGGCTTCTGCTCCGGTGAGAATCCAGCAGCGGCGACGGCAGCCATCCAGGACGAGCAGCGGTGTCGATACCCCTTCCTCCTCCCTGCCATTCCCTGGGACCGGTTTCTCATCCAGGGCCGTTTTTGTGCACGGTCCTGAGGCCCGGTAGGGGCCCCCAGAAGAAGAGAACAGGGAAAAACCTGCCACCAGGAGGAGGAGGAGGAGGAAAAAGGAAAGAGGAGGAGGAGGAGGAGGAGGAGGAGGAAAGAGGAAAGAGGAGGAGGAGGAGGAAGGAGGAGGAGGAGGAGGGGGAAGGAGGAAGAGGAGAGATGATGAGGAAAGGTGATGATGATGATGATGATGATGATGATGATGATGAGGAGGAGGAGGAGGAGGAGGAGGAGGAGGAGGAGGAGGAGAAAGAAGACTGAGGAGGAGGAGGAGAGGTAATGAGGAGAGGTGATGATGAGGGGCTTGCAGGCTGAGGGCCGCCCACCTCGTCGGAGACTCCAGAGGCAGCGCCCAGACCGCCCCCCCCCCCCCCCCACACCTCAGGAGGGCAGGCGGGGCCACCGGGAGGCGCGGCGGTCCTCTCGGGGGCAGGCCGCCTCCCCCCCCCCCCTTGGCGGCCAGGGGTGGGGGCTGCCTCCCTGCGCCGCTCGGCCGTCCGTCCCCCGCGCATTTGTTTGGGTACCGAAGGGCCGAAGAACGAAATGGTGCAAACTTGTCCGCCGTCGGGGACGCCTGCCCCCCCAGGGCGGCTGCAAAGTTTAGACCCCGACGGTGCCACGTAGGGGCATAAACTTTACAGTCGCCCGGGGGGCAGGCGCCCCCGACGGCGAAGAAGTGTATATTATGCCGTTCCTCGCCTGCTGAGTTGCGCTTTTCCACCACGTGATCCAGGATGCTCCTCCGTGGTCACCGCCGAGAAACATGCACACGTCCGAGCGATGCCAAGGAGACCAACCCCTGAAGGCCCAGAAGCGGAGAAACCAAAAGGCATCGATACCGCTACTCCCAGGGCCTCTCTCCAGAAGCGCTTTGACCAATATTCCGACGCGAATCCAGCGGTCCCAGGAGTCCGAAAAAAGGGGGCACTGGGGGAAGGGTAGCGGTATGGGTCGAGGCGCCCCCTTCGCCCGCAAGCCGTCTCGCTTACTCGCACCCGCCATCCCAACACATAAGTAAGACCCGAGGGAGTCTCAGCATATTGCTTAGGAGCGCCACGCATGCCATGTGCGTCACGGGTTCCAGGTGTACCAGGCGCCCTGGAGGCCAAGCGAGCCAGGCGCGCCAGGTGCAGTACGTGCTACACGTTGAAACAATATGCCGGCACCTTCACCGCCCCTAACAAAATCCAATGCAAATTGGTCGCGGGGCGCCCGTGCATGCTCCAGATGTGGAGGCAAAGTGCATTCTGTATTGTCTTTTGACAAAGATGGTTGGCCTGTGCGCCGCGAGCAATATGGCGGCACCCCCGCCGTCCCTGTCAAAAACGAATGCAAAGTGCTCGCGGGGTGCCCGCGCAAGCTCCAGATGTGGAGCCAAAGTGCATTCTGTATAATTGCTTGACAGTCGCGCACACTCCAGATGCAGAGGCAAAATGCATTCTGTACTGCTGCTGTTGAAAAAGATGGTCGGCCTGCGCGCAGCAAGCAATATGACGGCACCCCCGCCGTCCCGATCGAAAACCGATGCAATGTGGTCGCGGGGCGCCCGCGCATGCTCCAGACTTGGAGGCAAACTGCATTCTAGGAGCCCCTGGCCCAAGGTGCCCCCAGCTTTTCGTTCCATTTCGGGGCCCCTGGGGCCCACCATGGACGCCCGCATAATCTCGGATGATTGCTGTCCGGGGTAATTCCGGCTTGGGCTCCCGAGGCGCGAACCTGTAGCTGCCCCCAGCCCCGATGATGCGTGAGGGGTGGACGCCCGAGTTCTCTGGGATGCGTGCGGTCTGGGGATTGACTCCCGTTTGGGCCCCCGAGGCGCGAGTCCGTAGCCATCCCCGACCGCCCCAGGCCCTGTTGATTTGGGGCTCTGACCGTCTGGGCACCGTGCGGGGTGCGCTGGACCCACACCTCCGCCGTCATGATCTTCTAATAGCGTCGACCCCCAGCTGGCCATCGCTCGGACGTCCATTTCCTATGCTTTTTTCGGTTTCGTGCGTGGTTTTTTCGCCGAAGGAAACATGCACACGTCCGAGCGATGCCAAGCCAGAGGTCTCGACCCATTCCCCGGGACCTGTTGCTCACCCCGGGTCGTTTCTTGACGGTCCTGAGGCCCAGCACGGGCCCCCAGAGAAAGAAAAAGGGCAAAAAGCCTCCCATCGTGATTTCTGCAGGGCCCGAGGGTATCTGGGTCTGGAGGCCGCGGGGGCCTCCTTGGGTCACCTTGGGCCAGTGGCACTTCCTCGAATGGGGGATCGACTACAGAATTGATTTCCTCCAAACTTGATCTGCCCGTCGAATCCATGAGACAAGCGTGCATTGTAGATCTACACATATTCTACGTATGACTCGACGAGAAATCAAATGTGGGGCCGATCGATTCTTTAGTCGATCCCCTGTTCTAAGGGGCAACGATAGGGTGTGTGTGACATAGAGGGGGGATGCATCAACCTGGCCTCGGCGATACATCGCCGATAGATCGGCGATAGGACCCCGAGTGAATCCGCATGCTCCTGGGCAGGTTGGGGCTGTCGGGCCCCTATCGGTGATCGATTGGCGATTGAGGGTCGATGCCCCCCCCCCCCGTGCCCATCCCTCCCTGTCGTGGCCCCTGATGTCCGCACTCCTGGCACCACCCGACGACAGCAGGGCCCCCTTGCGAGAGGGGGCAGGCGGGGCGCGAGGCCCGCAGGCGCCAAAGCCCTCTCGGGGAGGGCCGCTGGCCCTCGCCGGGCCCAGCCCCCAGCCCCATCCCCCCCCCCCCTCCCTGGGCAGCTACTGATCCGGGTCCTCGGAGGAGGAGGAGGAGGAAAAGGAGGGAAAGGAGGAGGAGTAGCTATTGATTGGCGGCGCGCGCAAGGGGGTGGACGGAGGGGGAAGGGCTTCCTAGAAGGAGGCTGCTTCTGAGAAGGCGCCGGCCTCACATCTATGGATGAGGCCCGCGCCTTCTGAGAAGCAGGGGCGATCCTAAGAGGTTCCCCCCCCTCCCCCCACCCCCCTCTGCGGGCTCCTCCTCCTCCTCCTCCTTCTCCTCCTTGTCCTCCTCCTCCTTGTCCTCCTCCTCCTCCTCCTCCTCCTTGTCCTCCTCCTTGTCCTCCTCCTTGTCCTTGTCCTCCAGGTCCTCCCAAACCCCGGTCACTGCGAGATCCTGCAAGGATGCTGCAGGACCCTGTACGCTGGCCCGGTCCATGCGTCCCTGGCTCTGCGGGGTCCTGCAAGAACCGCACGCTCTGACTGGCCCCTTTTGCGTTGACCCCCCGTCTCTTGAGCCCCGGCCCCTCTCTCCTCGCCATCGCCTGGACGTCCCTTCCTCCTCGTTTTTTTTTTGTCGGTCTCGTGCGTGCATTCTTCGCAGAATGATCGAAGATGCTCATAGCACACCCCCGTCGTCATGATTTGTTCATAACGTCGGCCCTCAGAGATCTGGACCCCTTCACTGGGACCGGCTTTTCATCCTGAATCGCTTTTCAACGTTCCCGAGGCCCGGTGAGGGCCCCCAGAGGCTGGAAATAACAAAAAAAACCTCCCGTCGCGGTTTTTCCGCAACGCGAGGGGTCCTCGATGGTCACCGCTGGGGAACAATACACACGTCCGACGATGCCAGGGGAACAATACACGCGTCCGAGCGATGCCGAGTCTCGAAAGCACCGCCGGCCGCCCTCAGGGTCTGGACGGTCATGATCATCTCCACGGCGTTCCCGAACGTCGCGTTGAGCAGGCCGCTGAGGACCTCGCCGCGTCTGGCTCGGATGTCGCCAAGGAGGCGCCCCTGGCCCCAGACCCCCTCGGGTCATTAGAAAATCATGGCCAAAGGTTTTTCCCAATTTTCGGTCTCTGGAGACCCTTACCCGGCCTCGGGACCGCCCAAAAAACAGCTCAGGAAGAAAAACCGGTGCTCGGGAATGGGTCGAGACGTCTTGGGGTCGACGTTATGAACAAAAAAAAACAATGACGACGGGGGTGTGCGGCCCAAGGTGTCCCCAGCATTGCCGAGGAGGCCCTCACGGCCTTTACCCCCGCACGAGGCCCAGACGGGCCCCAGGGGCTCCAAAGTGAAGCGAAAAGCTGGAGGCACCTTGGGCCAGGGGCACTCTTAGCACCCCCCGGCTTGTTTGTTTGTGTGTACATAGCGGCACATGTGTCTGCCATCATGAGCCGATTGGGGCTCTCTCCCTATAGGCCTACCACAAAATCTTCGCATAATCCCGAAATGTTCAAAAACATAAACACTGCTCTCAGAACGTTGACGCGATGAGTTTAAACAAAACCATATCAGCCGGAAATGTTCTAATGGCATTTTTGCGTGCGGACCACAAGGAGTTCTTAGAACATTCTTCGGTGGGCCTGTAGGCAAGCCGGAACGCTTCGCCACTGCTCGAGCCCTGGACCCTGCGGGGGGGTGGGGGCGCGGGGTTCCCCCCAAAAGGCGGCTGCCAGCCGCCTCTGGGACCGGAGGAGGAGGAGGAGGAGGAGGAGGAGGAGGAGGAGGAGGAGGAGGAGGAGGAGGAGAGGAGGAGGAGGAGGAGGAGGAAGGAGGAGGAGGAGGAGAGGGAAGAGGAGAGGAGGAGGAGGAGGAGGAGGAGGAGGAGGAGGAGGAGGAGGAGGAGGAGGAGGAGGAGGAGAGGAGGAGAGGAGAGGAGGAGGAGGAGGAGGAGGAGGAGGGAGGAGGAGGAGGAGGAGGAGGAGGAGGAGGAGGGAGGAGGAGGAGGAGGAGGAGGGAGGAGGAGGAGGAGGAGGAGGAGGAGGGGGAGGAGGACAAGCTAGGTGCGCTCGCGTCATATCTGACATCCTACCCCTCCCTCCCATCCCTTACCATGGCGCAGATCCCCTCTCTACTCGCACAGTCGGATGTCGAGCAGGGCAATGATCCCGAAAGGGTACGCGGTGCATTGTAGAGCACGGCATGGCATGGCGTAGAAGAGCACCGCAAAGCGTAGTATCAACCTAGCTTTGCATTACATGCCGTGGCATGGCACAGGAAATGACGCCAGCGCTGCAGCGGGAGCACGAGTCGAAACGAGCGGAAGCGCGGAAATGAGGCCAGCGCTGCAGCGGGAGCACGATTCGGAACGAGCGGAAGCACGGAAATGAGGCCAGCGCTGCAGCGGGAGCACGATTCGGAACGAGCGGGGCCCGAAAATGAGGCCGGCGCCTCAGCGAGAGAAGCATTTTGAAAAAAATGCAAGCGAAAACCCAACTCCGGGGAAACCTGTGTAAAAAACAATACGCGGGGGGGGGGTCGGACACTTCCAGGCCGTCATCAGGGGAAGAGGGAGAGTAGTATTCATATTGAGTAATTGTGGAGGAGGAGGAGGAAATGAGAAGGGACTGGTCGCCGGTTTTTTATATCGTATGTGTGCGTCGGGGGCCTCGTTCTGCAGGCAGGCGTCGAGCTCCTCCGTGGCGTCTCCCAGGATCTTCGCGAGCGGTATCAGGGCGCAGAAGTTCAGCCAGAAGGTCGCGTTCGGCCCCCAGCCGAACGCCGCCGAGAGGACTCCCAGGGGGAAGGCGACCAGGAGGATGCTGAATGGGTGCAGCAGGATGGACCGCATCGCCTCCGCATTCCTCTGGAGGGTGGACTTGGGTGTCCTGGCGCGGCGCAAGACTGTAGCCGCGCACCCGCACAGACAGCCCCTTGGAGGCAAGTCCTGGCTGGCCTCAGCTTGGGCGAGAATTAGTGGGAGGCGGAAGCAGAGGCGACGCGGGGCAAGCGAGCCACCGCGGCGGTGAGCAGCGGCGTCGCGCGACTATAGCCCCGGAGGCATGACCGCAACACGCCTTCAGAGACGAAGGAGGCCAATCGTTAACGGGTCAGGACAACTTGCTTGGCCGCGAATTTAATGGGGGGCGTTAAGTTTTGGGGGGAAGAGAGAGAGAGAGAGAGAAAGAACAAAAAGAGAGAGAGAGAGAGAGGTGCCGTCTGCGGTCCCCCCAAAGCCCCTTCTGGGGCCCTATAGAGAGCGCCTTGTAAGGGCCCGAAGGAAGGCCCCTTTCCAACAGCCACCTCTGCCCCCCCATGTATCGCCCTCCCTCTTTTCGGGCAGCCCCCGCTGCCCCCCCAATTTCCCCCCCCCATCACACTTGGGTCGGGCCTGTCCCCCTCCAGGGTCACGTTGGGCGAAACCCCCCAAAAAATCAAAAATTCCAAAAATAGTCCAGAGGTCGTCCCCAGACTATTTTTAAAACACTATTTTGGAAGTTTCCTCCCGCAGGGGGGACACGCACGACTTAAAACACCACGCGCCCCCCCAGCTCAGCAGGCACCCGTGATGCACATCGGGGCGGCCGCCGCACCCCCGGCCACATCGGGGCGCGGAGCGCCCCCCGGGGGGTGGCCCTTGGGGTCTGCGCGTCGTCGTCTCCTCCTCCTCCTCCTCCTCCTCCTCCTCCTCCTCTCCTCGTCCTCCTCCTTCCTCCTCCTCGTCCTCCTCCTCCTCCTCCTCCTCCTCCTCCTCCTCCTCCTCCTCCTCCTCCTCCTCCTCCTCCTCCTCCTCCTCCTCCTCCCCCTGGAAAGACCGCCTGGGCTCACCCGCAGGCCCTGCCGCTGCTTCCCGCGCGATCCTGGCGGCGAAGTCGCCGTCGGAGTCCCCCCTCCTGAACTCGCGGTTGACCCCCCAGGCGACGGCGGGGGGGATGCTGATGCCGGAGACCTTGAGCATCGTTTACACGATCCCGATCCCCGGGCGTGGCCCGGGCCGCGCTGGCTGATGAGCCCCCCAAGATGGGGATATAGGCTTGTGCCCTTCGGGTTCCGAGATATCCCCAACTGGGGTGGTGGGGATCGGGATGGGCATGGGGATAGGACGGTTAAAGGATGCGCTCACCCGGGAACTCACAATGACACAGCCATGACATGTCGGAGGTCTGCGCGGACTCCTCGGAGCGGCGCCAGAGCCCGCCTCCGGCGCCGCCCCTGGCGCGCCCCGCGCGCCATGGAGTGGGGCCCGGCGCCGACCCGAGAAATCCGCGCGGACCTCCGAACATTTATCTTTGCGCAAGTTCTTCTCCCTCCATACAGTCGGGGCGTTGACCTAAGGAACCCTGAAAAAGGAACGAGGCCCCTGTTTCCCATAAGTTCAACCTCGATTTCACACGGAAAACCTCTGGAAAACCTGAGACAAACTGTGAAACGTTCAAGGAACACCGAGCCCCTCCCCAACTAAAAGGGTTCCTTCTTCAGCGCCCCGACTGTATGGCCGGTTCACTAAGCCCTGGCCCGTAAAAACCTTGCCATCTCTTGGGAGGCCGACTTTTACTGCCGCCGCCTTCCGCCGAGCTTCCGCCGCCTTCCGCCGGCGGCCTCGTTCTGCTTCCGCTGCCTTCCGCCGAGGAAGAGACATCGACTCCTTCGATCCTCGAGGGCGAGGCCCTTTCTGGAACGGCTCATATGCCGGAGACCTGGCTTCTCGAGTGGTACACCTCGCCGCCGGAAACCTGCCGGATGATGCCCTCCTGGGGGCCGAACTGCGCGCTCAAGGTGTGCGCGACCTCCCGGGGGAGCTCGCGGTAGTCGTTTTTCCGCTGCCGCATGCTCATTCCACCAGGGCAGGGAAGGGGGATATGGAAAGGAGGGACGAAGAGAGGAGGAGGATAGAGGGGAAGGGGGAAGGGGGAGGGGGAGGGGGAGGAGGAGGGGGAGGGGAGGGAGGAGTAGGAGTAGGAGTAGGAGTAGGAGTAGGAGTAGGAGTAGGAGTAGGAGTAGGAGTAGGAGGAGGAGGAGTAGGAGGAGGAGGAGGAGGAGGAGGAGGAGGAGGAGCAAGAGGAGGAAGAGCAAGAAGGGGACTATCGAGGACTATCGAGCGAGGGGCTCCGCGGTCGACTCGGCCGCCGCGGCCCCCGCCCGCGCCAAACACGCAGGCTCTCCTGAGGTCGCGAGCCCACCCCAAAGACAGGGCGGGGCCCCACCTCCCTGCCGCACCCAGGGCAGAATACTGCTCAGAGGAACAGCTTCAGGAGCATAACCTCTGACATGCCTTCGAAAGCAAGTAATGGATGAGATGACAAGAAAGTGCTGTGATGCTCTACACCCATGGCCTCGGCTCGAGAAGGTTGCCCGACACGTGCACGAGACTTTGGGATGCGCCCATTATGCAGAGGCCCACAGACAGCAACTCCATACTCCCAGACGGCGAAGCAAAAGGGCGAATGCCATAAGTGAACGTGCAAAAGGTTAAGACAAAACCATACTGAAACTTGTACCACCAGGTTGTGTCCCGCGGCCTCTTGCGGCGGTGTGAAGAATTACGATTGAACAAACTTGACAGACCACCAGCTGAATGGACAACAATGGAAGAAATACAACACTTGACCCCACCACTGGCGGTTGGCTCTCGTCGGCTCTCGGGTTGAAAACTGTGCCGCCCAACCACGAAAGCCCAATACAACAATACAAAAGGTACACCCCCTAGGCGGCTTTGGGAGATGCATAAACTGTAGCTGATGTTACGGCAGCGTAGAACACATCCGTGAAGTGCAGGGCGGGGCGCCCGTCGATGAACACGTGCACCTCTCTCGCTCCTGCCCGCCACCAGCTGCGACTCTCCGTCCCGTTGAGCCGGAAAAAAAAAACCATCCCAATCCAACTTCCTCAACTCAAAACGTACCCTCCCCTGCGGCTTGGGGAGATGCCCAAACAGTAGCAGAAGATGGCCGAAACTGCGGCACTATCACAGTAGCCTTGAAAACCGATTGCACTTAAATGGCTTCTCGCTCCCCCTCAAGTGAGGGTCAGAGTCAGTGCGCCTTGAGCGAAACACACCCCTGACGGTACGCGGCAATCGGCACCTCGGCGGCAGACTTCTTGGAGCCAAAACAAACAAGCCTGGGCCGAGAAGTTACTTGAGGGAGCAAGAGGAGGAGGAGGAGGAGGAGGAGGAGGAGGAGGAGGAGGAGGAGGAGGAGGAGGAGGAGGAGGAGGAGGAGGAGGAGGAGGAGAAGGAGAAGGAGGAGGAGGACAAGGCAGGGAGAGAGAGGGAGAGAGAGAGAGAGATAGAGAGGGAGAGAGAGAGGGGGGGGCACGGATGGAGGAGGATGACGACAAGCGTGACGCCTAGAAGGGGACCAGCATCACGAGGGAGGCCGCTCCCTGCAGGAGACTTGCTCTTCGTGGCGACAGGAGGGAGGGATGAGGATGGGCGGCGAGCCTCAGGGGAAGCGAAAAGGGAACGGCCTTCTCAGAAGGCGGTGGGACTTCTCAGAAGCCCTCCAGCCTTCTGAAGGATTCCCAACCCTTCTGTGTTTTGGGTCCTCCGTTTTGAATCCACAGCGCCGCACGTCTCCTCTCCTTTCCTCTCCTCTCGCCTCTCTTCCTCTCCCGTCCTCCTCCTCCTCCTCCTCCTCTTCCGCTCTGCTCCTCCCTTCTCTGCCTCCTCATCATCTGTTTCCCATGTCCCGCCCCTGCCCCTTCTGCATGCCGCACACGCCTGACACGTCTCGCGGCCCCATGAGAAGTCCCACCGAGGGCACCAGTGGGTGCGTCCGCAAGGCGCCACCGCGCCCACTTCGGCGCACCGCTCACACGCGTCCTGCCTCCCAAGGAGCTCCAGCACTGGCCCCACTGGGTGGGTCGCCGCGCGCACTTCGGCACACCCCTCGCACGTTTCCTGCCTATCGGGGAGCTCCACCGATCGCCACAGTGGGTGCGTTCGCATGGCGTCCCCGCGCGCTCATTGCGGCCCCTCAAGCGTTTCCTGCCCCCCAGGGAGCTCCACCCATGGTCTACACGAGTGCGTTCGCATAGCGTCCCCGCCCCCATTTCGGCACACCCCTCACGTGTTTCTTGCCCCACCCCACCCCACCCCAGGAAGCTCTTACCCATGGTCCCAAGGGGTGCGTTCGCATGGCGTCTCCGCGCGCACTTCGGCACACCACTCACACGTTTCTTGCCCCCCGGGAGCTACGCCAATGGCCTCAGTGGGTGCGTCCGCATGGCGTCCCCGCGCCCATTCCCTCACACCCCTCACGCGCTTCCTGCCCCCATAGGGAACTCCGCCGATGGCCCCACGTCCGCATGGCGTCGCGAAAGTGGTTTGACATGCGTGGTTGGACGTTTCTGGATGGGTGCTGCAGGCCCCTTGAAGCATTCTTGTGTATCGAGGGGTCCTGCTCATCGTTGCCTCCTTGGGCCCTTTCGCCGAGAAGGTTTCGTGCACCCTTCTTCGACGGGAGGCCCGGGGCCTTCCGAGCCTTCCGAAAAGGCCCGCCTCGCCTCACTTCCCCCCCCCCAGGCTCGCCACCGAGAGGAGCAGGGGGGCCATTGGCACTCGGTCGGGCATGTCCTCCTACAGGCGGACTTTGCAAGAAAGATGAGCATTAGTAACAGCAAAAAAGAAGCAAACAGTGATAGAGCAAGACGCCGCAACTCGCCACCAGTCTAGGCTTTCTACAATGGAGTATGCCTCCTGCAGAGAGGCATGCCCGCCTTAACATTGGCACGGGGGAGCCGGGCCCCGAGGGAAGCGAGTCCTGGGCCCCCCGGGCCCCCCCCCAACAGAAGAGCTCTTCGTCCCGCGCCGTTTCCTGACAGGGTCCCGGGGCCCGTGGAGGGCCCGGGACCCGCTTCCCTCGGGACCCGCTTCCCCTGGCGGCGAGGGCAGCCGGAGGAGCAGCGGCAGCAGGAGGGCCGCCAGCGTCGTCGCCGCCGTGCCCCTCGAGGAGCGGGGTGGCCCCGCGTTGCGCCATGGGCGCGCGGCGCCCAAGGGTCGCGCCCTTGGGGGGGGGGGGGGGGGGCACCGCCCCTGTGGCGGGCCGGCGGAGCTCGCGCCGAGCAGGGGGCGTGGTAGGCGAGGTCTAAGGGGGGGGAGGGTCGAGGAGCTCGCGAGCTGCAGCTCGGCGGTCGAGGGTCGATGAAGCTCGAGGAGGCGGTGTGAGGGTTCGAGGGTGCTCTCAGGGACACACAGACAAATGAACGAAGACCAAAGAGGCTGTGCGTCTTCCTTCTTGAAACCATGCGGGTTCGACCGTCAGAGACTTTGGGCGGATCGGTATGTCCGATCTCTCTTTTGTTTATGCCCTCTGTGCTCAAAATCATGTCCGCACGAGAGGGGCCGGTTTCGGGGGCATCAGCACCCTCCCGCTGAAGGGGTGGTAGGCCCCGGGCCCACGGCGGTATGAACAACGCATCCAGGAGGGCGCGAGGGTAGAAGAGCGCGTGATCTGCACCTCTTCGGATAGAGGGGTGCGCCCGGACACGGGGGGAGGACGGACGACACAGGCGGCCTGGACAACACGCTTCAGGGGCGTGCCTGGACAAGCTCTGACGCAGGCGCGATGGGACAAACCGGTTCGGAGGCGAATGAGGCCCACGTGTGAAAAAAAACAAAAGAAACACCGGATTCTGGGCTCGAAGGCTCGAGGTTGGACGTAGAAAAAAAAGGTACGGGAGAACATTGGTCCGATGCCCAACAACAGATGATGTCCAACACGGACGGCGGCCGGTGTCGGGCAGGCGGCCTTCTGTCTCAGAGAGACAGTGCCCGCGGCCACGCCGACAACGAATCCTGCTTAGAATGATCAAGAATTGCTGTCGTTCTTTGTACCCATTGATCCGGTAATCTAGGAGCCCGACCACGAGAAAACCTCCCGCAGGAAACCCAACCCTGAGACCCTAGGACGTCCATGGATATTTGGCATGGGAGCGTTATGCTTTCCACCAAAAAACGATCGAAACCCAAGAATCCCAGGGCACCCTGGAGGCAACCAGGGTGTTTCTTGGCATGGGCTCCCACTGTACCCATCTCGATTCGTGGGGGAACAAGTGCGATGCGATGCGATGCGATGCGACCACCGTTGCGGACAGCGTCCGGGCCTACTCCAGACCGGGTGGGCGAGGCCGTGGCCTCGGGATTCTGGCGCGTCTGGACAGCATGCAGTGCGAGACAATGGCGCCAAACAAACTGCGCAACAAAAACAGCACACTCCCGAAGGCCCGCGCGGACTGCTAGGCTCGGCGCGGACCTCCGAAGCTTTCCGTTCCGAAGTCGTTGTCGGTTCCCCGACACGCGCATCCTTGAAGCGATCCCTATCTCGGCGGCGAGCGAGGGGGGAGGCGAGGGGAAGAAGGCCTTCACAGAAGGCGGCGACACTTCTCAGAAGCACCCCCCGTCTTCAGAGCCTTCCGCGATGTCCAGGAAGGCCCAAAGACTGCTCGGAAGGCCAGGGGCCTTCCGAGCCTTCTGAGAAGGCCCGCCCCTTCTCACTTCTCCCGCTCGCTCGCCGCCGACTATGCCCATCCCGATCCCGATCCCCATCCCCATCCCAAGCACCCCAGTTGGGGACATGCCCATCGCCATCCCCATCCCCACCACCCCCAATTGGGGATATGCCGATCCCCGAAAAGCGTATCCGGTAACGGATCCCCATTCCCATCCCGATTCCCACCAACCCAATTGGGGAGAGGCCCCTCGAAACTCGAGGGATCCAGGGTCGAAGGAGGCTAGTGGACGCCACCGGGTCATCCCGCGGGCCTCCGCGAACCCCCCCCCCATGGAGCCGCCGGAGGCAGCCCCGGGCTACCTCGGCAGCGGGGGGAGG